TTATGTATTATTTTAAGATAAGGATATTTGAAGTTAAGTACTTACCTTTTGTACTTGTTGCACTGCGGAATTTTCGAAGCCTCCATGTAAGCAAAAATCCAATAGCGAAGGCCAAGTAGGCTTCCAACAATGAAACACGTGGAAAATCCACGTGTTCTTCGAGGAGTTTCGTGAAGGCATATGATCCACCAGCTCACCCTTGATGCTATTGTCATCCCTTTGGTCTTTGCACAACATTGCTTTCAATGAAGACATTGCCGTTAAATGAACTCATGACCGATGAATGGTAAGTACGAAGCACTAATATACCAACAAGCAAAGGTGACCATTGCGTTCGAATTCGGGCTTGGGCATACTTTAGGAAGTATTGGATAAGGGAACTACCTTATGAATCTCTCAAAAGCAGCACGCAGATCTTTTGGGATCAAGAAAATTCTTATGAAATCAATTGCACTGAGAAATAAACTCATGGAATGAAACAAGCCATAACTCGAGGAGTCACGCGAACCAATAGCAAGGTGACACTTGGAATTAGGGCTGCATGCACCTAACCTAGTTCCACACGGACTCATTCCCTATAAATATTGATACACAGGTAAAGGTAAAGCCACACATTCTCTAAACTTTTAACTGAATCTCTGCTTATTTATCTTTCCGACGACCAATCCCCTTAAATTTATACCAACAATTGACTTGACAAGTAATGTAACAATATAGTCGTCGATCAAGGGGCTTGATACCTAATGGTTTCTGTTAGATTGTGCAAGTAACATAGAGGTACAAAAAGGAGTGTCATTGGATTTGTGGCAGCAAGCTTTAGGGATTTTTGATAGGGCTTGGCAAAATGTCCAAACCGAACCGAACGGGTTTTCCTAAATTAAAAACCCGAACGGGTATTTGAATCGAGAACCGATGAGTTTGGTTCGATTCTCGATTCTAGACAAAGAACCGAATAAGAACCGATTTTTTTTTTTTTTGAGAAATCAATTTATTTTATTTTTTTCTAAACAAATTAACAATTTTTTGTTTTAACTATTTGACCTATATATATATATTCTTTAACCCGTTTAATTTTGGGCGGGTTTATAGTTTGACTTTTGTTTCCTATTGGACTTAATTTAGATTGGGTTTGGTTTCAGTGTTGGGTTAGGCTTTAGTTGCTATTTCAGCCACTCATGGTGGGTTTATGTTACGTTTTGGGTTGGGTTTT